TCTTGAGCTGGTAGAGGAAATGGAAACAAAATTCTATAGCAACATGCAAATCAATATTTAAGCTAAAGCTAATGTAATTTTTTTGGGACACATAACGTACGGTTTTTGAAGTCAGATTAATAGAATTTTACCGTATAAACTATGTTCTAATATCTGATTTATGTTCATCCTTACATGTAAATCATATTGTATTACGGATTTAAAAAAAAAAAAAAAAAAAATTTTTTAGGAATACATTTTAAATGTAATATTTATTTTATGAGAGCAAAGCAAACATGAGAAAGTATGGTAAGAGAATACGAAATAAGTGATACAAAAAAGTTTAAAATATTATTGGGATCTAAGAAGAATTCAGTTTAATTCAATTTCACTAATTGATTACATATATTAAAAGGCATTCTTCAATACGTTTTGAATAGCAAATGAAATTTTCTTTTTAAATTTTAGCTAGAAAATATTATTCAATGGGACAAAAAACCATTTACATACTAAAATGATTTTGATAAAGATAAAAGTCAAATGTTTACTGCACTTTCGTTACAGTTTTAACTTTGAAATCTATTACATATAACTTTTTAAATGTTAAAATCAACTAACTAGAGAAATACATTAAGATTTATAAGGCCTTGCTTTCAAGGTTACTCCGAAGACCTCTCAACAAAAATTTGTATTGACTAAATAGATTTTCCGCCAATGAGTAAGAAACTACTTCCTGATATGGCTATCGAGCTGTTCCTTGCAGAGTGAATGGCTTATGTTGATCGTGCTATTAGATTTATGTATGGGGATTTCAGTACTGTTTATTTTTGGAGCATACTGTATTGAACAGTGAGCATAATGTTATGAACCAACATAACAATCAATACTGATATGAGCCACAACAACAACAACAACATATGGCAGAGCCAATATATTTAACTAACAGAGCCGTGGGCTCAGCTATATCAAGGACGCTGTATTAATCGGTGGTAACAGCTGTATCTGACTGAGGCAAAAATCTTAAGGGGACAGAGCCACGAGCTTTAGTTATCAATATCCGAGTATTTAATTAGGACTTTCTCAGTTATAACACAATGTTATTTTGTTGTTTTTTTTAGTTTTATTTTCATGGCGACACGTGATTCAAATGAAATGCAGTGTGGGCCAAACAAAAAAAAAAACAGCACTTAAACTCTCCAGAATCTTAGACATGCGTGTGCGTTTAGTAAAGGGGCGTAGCTCCAGCCTCCACCTCCTGCAGTTAGGAATGTCAATGTCGACATTTTCAGTAGTAGTTGGAAATGGATATTATGTGGGTGTAAAGTGAAAGAGATGTTGTGGGAAAATTCAAGAGAGCTTAAATTAGACTACACCAAGTAACACAGTTAATGAACATGAAAAAGTATTAGCAACTAGCAATAGCTCGACAACGTTGGCGACAGCAATGCGTGAACTTCCCATGTACTAAATTTACTTGACAAAACATGAACTCAAGTAACGCACATTTAAGAATACCAATTTTTGCTACAACACCTCGAGCCATGATGCGTCCTTGCACACTTTTTTTTTTATTTCACGACCATGAACTCTATTAATATTCTGATGTCCCAACCACATTTCAACCGACTATATCTTACACCATATTCAAAATTCATTTAATTTTCCGAAAAAAAAACATGTTAAGCACCAAACGCAGTTGCTTTATTAAAAATATTATTTAGGATAGTCAACGTGAATGATATTCTGCGCGCTATCTGGAAACGGAAGCGGACACACAGCAAGCATTATATGTATAAGATTTTTTTTTTGGGGTGTGGGGCATACTGTCCTCTTATGGCAAGTTCTGCTCGTATGTTTCCTTTATTATTATTATTAATATTTTTGTGCTCTATGACGTTTGCAGCAGGGTTATACCAAAGAATGCATTGATAAATACTAACGTGTTGTGTTTAGAAATTTCAAATTTGTTCAAACAAAGATAAAAGGATATAAAAAATTCAGTGCAGGCATTTCTGTAGAGATTATATAATCTTTTATTTACTTGTTTCAACTTAATTTTCATGTTCATTATAGCGGAAAACAAACATTCTTATAATTCGTGTTATACATCTTAAATAAATAAATGAAGTACTGATAACGTGGCACAGGTAAAGTTGTGCTCTTTAAAATAAGGTATATATATTTTTTTTTTTTTTTTTTTTTAATTTAACAATTAAATTAATTTCTGACATGGAATTTTTTAAAATGACGTGCATAAAAATAACACCATATTAAATCATACATTGTGAGAAGCTGTTTGAACCAAACCATGGTTTGACCCATGCCTGCTGCTAACATCTCATTCAAACCCCCTTTTCTATATTGTTAACATCCTTTATTGATTCAAATAAAAATAACTTTAAAAAATAAAAATTAATTGTATTTATTACTGTGCTTAAGAGGAATATTTAAACCAAGACAACATATTTTAATTTTAACAATTTAAACATTAAAAGTAATTGCCTAGCACAGCATAAGCAGTAAATGAACTCCTTCAGTGACAATACTGATTTAATTAGCATCTTTTGATTTGGAAATTACTGGGGGCCACGCTGGTAAATTCTTACAGGCTGGGGAACAAAAGAATTTTGAATAATTGATAATCACAAGTAGATTAGGGAAGCTTCAATTGCTTATACAATATCTATGATACATTAAAAGAAAGGGAACACGGTTATCCTTGTAAAACTGTAAAAGAAGGCGTGAGAAATGTAATTTAAAAACGTGTATTTGTATCAGTGTGTTGATCAATTTCAATTATTTTATGACTATTTAATTTCCCTTTCATATAAATGAATTAACACGCAACCGAATTATGTGCAATTGCCTATAACTATGTCGACACTGGGCAATGGCTACTTGATTTTTTTTTTTTTTTGCTTAATTAAGGAGGCTAATGCGGCAAGCTGGTTCTATTTCCAAGACATGTTAGATTACAAAATTCAGCATACAGTTAAAGCGATTAAATCTCACTCATGCAAAAGCATAAATAAATAAAATAAACATAAACGAACAAACAAACAAACAATTTTCATTAGAATTAGAAGAAAAGCAAAATATATCCCTTAATTAAACAAACTTTAAATAAATTATTAGCTGTAGCTAACTTTAATAATAATGATAAGAAGAAGAAAAATATATAAATTGAAAATAAAATTCATCTTATTACAAAAAGAATACAATTTACATCCATTTTAATAGGTTTGTCTTTGACCTACAACCTAATTGGTGGCTACACATTTTTGCTTTTGTAGTCCGTAAAAATATATAAATTGAAAATAAAATTCATCTTATTACAAAAAGAATACAATTTACATCCATTTTAATAGGTTTGTCTTTGACCTACAACCTAATTGGTGGCTACACATTTTTGCTTTTGTAGTCCGTAAGGTTTTCAACATCAAAGTTTAAAAATTACTACCTCGGGGAGTTTCTAAGCTGTTTTGTTTGCGTTGCGTTGTAATTTGCTTTATTCAAATGAAATTTCTATTAACCCTGTTATTGTGTCGCTCACATTCTATTATTCCAAAAAAGTCAAACAATAATACTGATAACTGACGGCGCAGATCACATACTAATCGAAATCAGGAATCGATTTTCGCCATTAACTTCTAGTCTAAGGGAAAGGCTCATATTTTAATCTACATCTATCTTCTAATGATCTAAATGTTTAACGTGGCGTTTCTTTGAATGCCGTCCTTCATGATCAAGCTGTTGGTCATCACTGTTCTTCAAATGATGTTCTTCATGATGTAACTGTTAGACATCACATTTCTTTAGTAGCTGTCCTAAATGATTGAACTGTTAGACCTCACACTTGCCCTGCTGGTGGCTTTGCAGTGAAGTTTGTGTAGAATGCCGACGTTTCATTATATCTCTGATAACTGTTAGACATCACATTTCTTTAGTAGCTGTCCTAAATGATTGAACTGTTAGACCTCACACTTGCCCTGCTGGTGGCTTTGCAGTGAAGTTTGTGTAGAATGCCGACGTTTCATTATATCTCTGGAGGGTTTGATACAACAGTCGGTATTGATCCTGAAGAAACCAGAATAATTGTTTTAAAAACACATGACATCTCTTTAGAAAAATTGAACATTTTGGATTGCATGGGGTTAAGGGTTTAATATAGGTATCCAAAACATTCGTGCAGGTCAAACACACTATTAGGACAATTAATGCAGTGCTTAAAAATATTTATTCTTTTAAACTTGTAATAATTTATTTGTTTGTAAAATTTGTTATGCTCATATCGTTATTTAAGAACCCACTGATGCATATACAGTCTTTTTTAAACGTTAATTGTTAAGCATTTTACATAAACTTTACAGAAAAGCTTGACAAGCAAAATTTAGTTTAACTGTGCTGTACCACTGTCGGGATGGCCTCCGGCCTAATGGACTTCACTGCACCAACAACAAGTGGAACTGTCAGACGAAGGTCATTGTCCATTCTGTCTAGTAGTATGGTTAGGACACAAGCAAGTCCACTGTATGTGGCGCCATTTCTGTTAGATAAGTTATATAAAAACAAGGAATAGTCAATGCTTTATGTTATAAACACAAAAGTAGAGTTTTCAGATGTGACTAGGGTTTTATTGTTTACAATTAAGTTAGGTTTAAACATCACTAAATCATATCTTTGCAAAGAAATATCTTAATTGTATCCTTTCTTGTGGCGTTCCAGAACAGTACAAACCCGTCATTTGTTGCTGATGTAAATGCAAGAGTTAATAGGAAACACTATATTTACAGCAAATACCTGCCAGAAACACTACATTTACAACAAATACCTGTCAGAAACACTACATTTACAACAAATACCCCGGTCAGAAACACTATATTTACAACAAATACCTGTCAGAAATACTATATTTAAAACAAATACCTGTCAGAAACACTATATTTACAGCAAATACCTGTCAGAAACACTACATTTACAACAGATACCTGTTTAAAGATGCACATATATTTTTCATTATCTCACCTGCAAACGAAGACAACCCTTCCTTTTTGTTTTGCAATTATCCCCCTTGCCTGTGTGATTACTGTCAGAAGATTCCTTAGGTCATAATCCCTTATACTGCATTTCAAATGGATTAAAGTATGAAAACTGTTTTTCTAGAATCGGAAGAAGGGAAGAAAAGCGAAGGTAACACCACTTACAGATTGTACAAAGTTTGTGTCGCATAAAAAAATGATCAAGTCAATGTTAAAAAAATTGAACACATAGATTCAATGAGATGCTGTTGTAATCTATGTCATATTAAACTTACATTAAACATTTTGATGTTTTTATCCTTTTTCCTTTTCACTGTGACGCGTTGTTCTTCATAAAACCCCTTTCCATCAGATTCGTCAGTCTCTATTATGAATTGCTGTAATTCAAGTGCTTCGTGGTGGTTTAAAGGTAGATAATTTCCAAAAGTCTGCAAAGGTATGTACATTGTGTTTTTTTTAAAACAATCCCCTTTTTTAATAACTAAACTGTTTTGCTACAAAATCATTAGAAGAAATACTGAAAGTAATAAAATTAATTTTTATTTTTAAAATTTTTTTTTTTACTTAACAATGCACCTCCATTTATAAAGGCATATACTTACTTTATTATCGGAGGAGTCAAGCTCAAAAGCCAGCACAAGTTTGACTTCGTATTGGGTAACTAGACGCCAGAAGTCAACCACGGTTGTGGTCAGCGGGATTTGAGTTAGGATGAAATTGTTTGGCTTTGTGAAACTCTGGAAAAATTGATGTGAGCCTACATTTAAAGGGCTGCATACTTATTTTATTTTTCCTAAATTTGTGTAGTAATGTCTATCACAAATATCAATATCACGTTTAATGTTTCTGTCTTAACTCTATTAAATCAATATGTGACTCACCGGCACTAAGACAGCGTTGATGTAGTCTCCCGTATTTGTTGTGTCAGTTTTAAGTGTAGCTCTGTACAGTTCACCGTTTGTATGCGATGAAAGTAGGTGTTTTTTTTTTTTGTTTTTTTTAAATTTTATTAACGTTGTTACTGATATTCAGTTAGATAGGATTTTATTTTTATTTACATTTTTTTTGTATTATTGTAAAGAACTATTGTAAAGTGACTGCTGACAAGAAAACAAATCACATATTTATAATATTTTCGAACTCTATTGATATTGGAACCATGAGAAGCAATGAAATGTAACTAACTCAAGAAAGAAAGGCACGTTGCGCGTGCAAAATACTGTACGAGGGGTAATAGCCCTCATAATAATCCAGATGGTGATCCATATATCCACTAATGCTTAGTTGTATTGGCTCTATGAAGAATGGGAAATGACAGGTACTTATGTCTTTTTTCATTGGGTATAAAGGGTTAGTGGTGCCATATTAGTAGGAGATTAACATGTACTGACATCATGCTAGTTCTAAAACAGACATGTATGACATTTTTGAAGGGTTCCATGTTTAATCCCGGCAGCTAGTGATGAACTGGACCCTACGTTTAACCATATTAACTTTTTTATTTGCCTTCCAATATATTATTTTGTTTGCATTCTGTGCGTACGGCGTGGGAAGCAGCGAATGAGACCGCATCACGTTGCGCACTCAGGACGGACAACATCCACTTGGGAATTATCTAATAAGATATTTATAAATACTATTTTAAATTAAATTCATAAGAGAGAGCGACCTTAAAGTGTTTTCAAAGTTTTAATTATTCCGTCGAACATACGTGGCTTCACAGACGACGATCTGTCTTTAACTTCCTTATCTCCGGCACTGTTTTGGTAAATAACGTCATCGTTATGTTCTCTTTCTGAGTCTGTTCCACCAACATCCTTACTAATGGTGCATACAGCCTGAACAACATACATGTAACATTATTAAGTACTTTAAATAATAGAATGCTACACCCCAATGAATGTGCTCAATGGTTAAATACATGCATCATTAATAATTTACAACTATTAAAATGACGTTAAGTAACATGTGTTGATTAAGACGTTATTCTGGTGCTGGGTAAACGAGTGTTTTAAACTGAGACAGTCCTAAACTTGTGGACTGGAGTTCAAAACACAGGAAAAAAAAAATAACTAGACAAGCAAAGAAACCCCTAGCAGGATGAGACGCGTTAACCTTGGATGGCAACACATCTAAGAGAATGCACGCTCTGAAATCAAACCCTGAGATGGCGTCCCGTCGGCGGTATGACATTGACACAATGAAAAATACGACGACGCATACGTGCCCTGTGAGACACAAACAAACTGTCGGTCATCCTTTGCACCCTTGACATTGGAACAAATAGCAATGAGGAGAGAGTCAGGCCGACGAATTGAGCAACTCTCCCTCCCTTTAAACAAAATTCAGCTCAAGTCAAGATTAACAATCAAGCCTTGGGAATCTTTGCACGTAAGACGTAAACCAAAAATAATAATAATTGACATTAAATATTTGATAATCAATAAAAAAAATACCTATCTTTTTATAAAACGAATTTTTATAACTGTCTCATGTGTGCGTAAGCTTTGATTTTTAAAGAGATGATATGTTTATAAAATTTGGAGATATTGTTACTTTCAAAATATATTATTATATTTATTTTTTTGTAATCCAGAGTCTGCTTATCAAAGCAAATTCCATACGTCTTAAAATGTATTTAATGTCTCTAAAATAACTGTTCGATTAACATTCATAGAACTTTATTTTTTCAAGTATCCTATTTCTTTAATTTGGTTTTGTCACCTCAAATTCCTTTTCCAATTGGGATTTGCCAGTTCCAAAATTCATTTCCAGAGTGGCAATTCTCTTCTCGATATCCGCATTAGTTATGGTAGTCCCCATACAAGCAATCGCAACAAGTGCTGCCCTGTGTAAAAACTGGTACTGCTCCTGAATACGGAACAAAATCAACATATTTTTGTATTGACATAAGTACATTTTGTCGTACTAAAGAAAATTGCACAAAATATACAAATTTTTTATTTTTGTTAAAAGGGGGTGGGGGATTAAACTTTAATCTAAATAAAACGGAGAATCTGACAAGGTGCTCCAACTCTCCCCAATGCACCTGGCAATTCACTCTTTATTAATGCACATGGTCCTTCTTTCTTTATAAATAGATGAGTTATTTCTACCTGAATCAATGCAATGGGAGCTTCTACCTCCATCATTACACTGGGTGCTTCAAACTCCAACAGTACACTGAGTACTCCCAACTCCAACAGTACCCTGAAAACTTCTAAATCTAACAGTAAATAGAGTAATTCAAAACTCCAACAGTACATTGATTTCTTCTAACGCTATTGATACACTGGGTGTTTTCTAGCTCCTTTTATACACTGGGTACTTCTAGAGCCATCTATTCACAGGTTACTTCTAATTCCAACATTACACTGGATCTAACTAAGCGTTACACTTTTTATTTCTAACACCATCTACACAGTTACTTCAATCTCCATAATGTTACTGGGTGCTTCTATCTTTATCCATTCACTCAGTAATTTTAACTTCATCAATACCCTGGGTATTTCTATCTCCATTAATGGACTCAATACTTCCATCTTCATCAGTTCACTGGGTACTTCTATCTTCAACAATTCCGTTTTCATCAATGTATTTTTTTAAAAATTGATCTTTATCAATGCACATGGTACTTGTATATTTATCAAGTATGTCAAAAAATTGGTGTAGAACTATTGAGATAAAATTACTTAACTTCAATTATGTATGTCTTATCCAGAAAAAAAACTAGTACGGCTTTCCAACAATAACCAAGCCCTTGTGAATAGTGTAGCTACATAAGCGAACTCCTTGTTAAATATTTTATGAGCCAAATATTCGTTAAAATAAATACTTACATGAGTTTGTACCATCATCGTTCTAGCTTGTCTCATCTTTGCCACAGTGTTGAAGAAGTCTACGTGTCCCGTGTCCTCGGCTTGTCTCATGATATTCCGCAAAGCTATGAACGTCCCAGTCCGACCAACTCCGGCACTAATGATAACAATGATGATATTATAATGATAAAAATGATGATAACAATGATGATACCAATGACCATAACAATGACGATAACAAAGATTGTAACAAATGTAAGGAAAGTTAATATCAAAACGAACCAAAATGAATTTCATTACACAAACTTTTGTATGAAAGATGTGAACCTACGTCTTAAGGAACTAGTAGAACAAGTTATGTGGGAGATTGAATCGAAAGACAGGACAATATGATCAGAACGTATTGGCTAGAACACTTCCTCTGTCTGCCGAGGAGGCTCTTAGCCGCAGCGTTCTAGTCTTACTGTCTCGTCTTTCAATTCAAGCTTCAAAATAACTTTTTCTACCAGTCCCTTAACACAGCGTGAACGCAATCCTTCATTTATTATCATTATTTGTTAAGCAGCGTTTAGTAAAAATTAGATCAAATTTAAATGATATTTTTTATGCCAAAACTTACTACAAGTTAGCATAAATAATATAAATAGGATGGATGCATGTATAGATAGTATACATGCTTAGAAAGGGTAAACCACATAAAACAAGATATTAGAAGAAGGCATAATGAGATGTAAATTGTTGAACTGCATTAAACAATGTTAAGGGTTTCCAGTGTTAAATAAATCAAGACATTAATAAAGTACCGACAAGTTGTATAGTAATGTCAATGTTAGCAATAAAAACTTATTATTCAACTTGAAATAATTTTACAAACAGCAAACTACAATGTCTTACATACAGCGGAATACAATTGTCTTATCTACATTGGACTACAATAGTTTTACGTCAGTGGACTACAATTGTCTTACCTACATTGGACTACAATAATTTTACGTCAGTGGACTACAATTGTCTTACCTACAGTGGGCTACAGTTGTCTTACCAACAGCGGACTACAATTGTCTGACCTATAGTGAACTACATTTATCTTACCTACAGTGGACGAAACTTTTCTTACCTACAGTGGACTACAACCGGTTGTATCGACGGCTGATCAAAAACCCTTTGTTCAAAGTCGACCAACCCCCATGGTGTTAGAGGTACCCCCTTGTCTGGCCATGAAGTGAAATGATACTGTGTGATGTGTTGTGAGCCTTGACCATTCTGTCATTGATAATGAGACTTACAAATCATACAAATAGAAATAAAATATTTGCAAATATCCACATTAGAACTATTTTAAACAAAAGTCAATGTATTATTTTTAGTTCACTTCATAATTTTAAATAACATTTTTTTAAAAATTTCTTTGCCTACTTTGATGAGCTGCAGTCTTCGAATTGTGTAGTCAGCAAATATTTGAGTTGTTGTTAATGTGATTGTTATACTTCCAAACTCGCGACTGCCCTCTTCTGGCCAGTACCTTTCACATTTCATCTGCAGGTAAAGGCGTGGCATTCAAATACATTAATTTCGCTGCACCTTGATGTACAAACGCAAGGTGTTGTGTTTAAACATCATACAATATAACGATGGGCGGGCATTTTAATATGCAGCGAATGTACAGATGACAAGGTCTTTTTTTTACATTTTTCAACACAAATTTTTAAAAAAAAAGAAAGAAATTGTAAAAATCAATAAAACATACTTCAACAGAGTACACGTTTGGACGATAACAAACGTATAAATATATTTTCTTTGTATTTAGAGACAATTAAAAAAAAAACTGTATGTTTTACTTCGTTTATTTGTGATTTTTTAACAAAAATAAGGATAGCCCACTGCTAATCAACAAGGTAATAAAACAAATAAGGATAGCCTACTGCTAATCAACAAGGCAATAAAAAACATAAGGATAGCCCACTGCTAATCAACAAGGCAATAAAAAAAATAAGGATAGCCCACTGCTCATCAACAAGGCAATAAAAAAATAAGGATAGCCCACTGCTAATCAAAAACACAAGAAAACGAAAGAACAATGCAAATAAAAAAGATATTAGCCCTCCACCCACAGAGCAAAGGAAAAAAAAAGAAAGGAAAAAAAAAGATAGATGTTACAAACCTCTTCTTAGTTAATAGGTTCGTTGGCTTCGTTATCTAGGGGTTTATTATAAACACTTCACAACTATAAATTCGTGTATAAAATATCTTTATTCATCCAACTAAGTCCTCAACTGCCATTTCCGTACTCAAAATAACAACACTCCACAACCATCTACCATACTAATACGTCATATCCCTTTTCACACAATACGTCACAAGATACTAAAAGTAACAGATAAAACAACACACATGATCTCAAACCAACACGCAATCACACCATGCATTCAAGTCACTAACAATATACTTACTTTAATCACCAAGACAAAAAGAGTATAGAATATCTACCTTTCCTTCTTCGGTCAGATTAGTTAACATGACCAACTTCTCCACCTTCTGCTCCCACAACATGCGCACAAAGTCATTTACCATGGAGGCTTTGGGACCTAAACATGAACACAGGATATATTACGAGCATTAAAATACATTTTTGCCAAGAGAATTCATTTTTTTTTTTAAATGACAATACAATTAATTAGTTCTAAACCTCGTTTAGAATATAATGTCCAGACTAAAGGCTAAGCGCCCGATTTCTTGTAACGTTTAAACAAGGTAGACAACAACGCGAGAAACGGAAAGATTCTCATGGTGTTAAAATAAACACAATTATCTCTCTTTGCGTACAGAAAACACACATCTTCACGGAAAAAAACAACATTAAACTATTTTTTTTTTCATATAAATCCTTAATAAGCATTTTTTATTACTTCGTTTTAACTAAATATTGTGATGCCCCACCCGCTTTCACATCGCAGATTTATATTACCAATTAATTTAGAAAAAGACAAATGAAACTATTTTTCACACTAAACTCAGTTGTTATTTATTACAAAAAGAATATGATTTAGAACAGTTTTTGGAAATTTTATGTCATTAAATTAGTGGCATCATATTTAATTATAATCTTCCCTTTAAAAAAAAACGGAGACAAAAACTTATGAATTGGAAAAGGTGATTGAGGATGATAATTTTGTAGGATATTTTGTCATGGGCAACGAGTAAATATGTATGCCAGGTATGACCTCGGTAGGTTAACCGTAAGTTTGAACATTAGCCATTCGAAAAGTTTTCCTCAAACACTTAAAGGTGACGTTAATATAAATGATTTAAAAATAGGTTAACACAAAACAGACTGTTGATATCAAAATGGAATAAAGACTCTCCGACAAAAATTCAACTTTAAAAACAAATTAAAATGTTAACACACAAAATAAACTCTATTGTATTTCCTTGACATAGCTTATGACATACACCTGTAATATTAGTTAATTATTGTTAACTACATCTTGTATCCGATAAAATTACCTTGAGATGCTATCATTCTTTCGTCATTTTTGTAACCCTGAGGAAACAATATACTTGTGCTAATGACAATACATAAAATAAAGTTTTAATTTGTATTAGTTTTGAGCTTTAAACAAATACAAACTACAATAAACTTTCTTTTAAACGTGAGGCTATCAATTCTGAAATTCACAAATACATCAAATAGTAAAAGAAAAATAATTTGAATGAAAAATATATATAAACGGTTGTAATTTATTATTAGTACATATTTATTTAAAATGTCTGTGAGCTTAAATAAATATAGTATAACAATGGTTTTGATTGATACGTTTCGACCTAGCATTGGTTTTGTTAGACAGTCATATCAGGCAATAACTAGTTGTTTTAAGTTAGGCTGTCTGGATAGTGGCCACTTAACTACCGGTGAACTCTTGAACACATTCTCACACCTGCTAACCGATATGTTCCAGTGTGGTTCCCTTACAAGATAGATGCAACTCTCAACACCCTTACTAGAGGCTGTTTGTGTAGTGTTGAGTTTGATGTTTCAACTTGCAAACACAGACATGTAGTTACTTGTCTTTTTTTGGATCAAAATTAGGAAATTGCTTAAGATGGTTGACAAGGTGCACTACTTTTGTTTCAATTTTATTTTTAATTTGATTTCGATACCAAACCATAATTTATCGTCAATGGATGCAATTCTGAAGCTAATAACGTTATTGATATTTTTTCTTCTCACTTTAAGCTAAAATTAAACATACAACCAGCATATTAGAAAACAACGTTAGTTGTGAATACCTTCTCCAAAAAAAGTATATAAGTAGGGGATACTTGTAAGGAGTATACGGCGACAACGCACTATAATTCTTTGAGCTTTATTTGCCATCTCTCATCCTTAAATAATTTTGATAAGTGGAATTTAAATTCTCTAACAGACCACCTGGTATTTAATTCCAAACTAAACGGTCGACGCACCTATTTTGAGAACCACTTGGATGAAAAGTAATAATGATTACTAAAACAGATACAAGGCTTCTCACCTCAATAAAAGATGCATTTATGTAGTCCCCTTCATTGTTATGTGTATTTATTTCCAGGAGAACTCTGGAATGGTCGTCTTTAAAAAAAATTTACATATTTAATTTATTAATGTATGTTTTTGTTTTTATTTTCAGAGGGTATTAACTTATATATAAATATTGAATTTTAAATGTTGCTCCACACCATTTCCCATACATTTCCCCGCTCCCTTATCATCTAACACAGTGGTCTTCAATCTTCCTAATACCGCGACCCTATAATACAGTTCCTAATGTTGTAGTGACACCCAAACCACAAAATTATTTTCGTTGCTCTTCATAGACACATGTTTTCTGATGGTCTTAGCTACCCCTGTGTACGGGTCAAAAGCGGTCGCGACACACAGGTTGAACACCGCTAATCTAACAGTTCTATACTAAATGAATCATTTAAATGATGTGTTATGTAGGACATGTTTACGTCACACTTTCCCCGTGCCGTGAACTCTGGTTCACCCCAAAATTAGGCTGCGTTCGTCGTGGGCGTGGTTTAATCTCTTTGATCTATCACCTGTTTCTTGTATACTTGAAGGTGTTCGAAAATTATAGTCATTTGTGGAATTTTCTAGTTACTAGTAAAATCCGGAATACGCCTAGGTTTTTCGGTAGAACCGTTTATAAAAGCAAAGAGGGCAATAACGGAGGCGGAGAGAGATTCAGATAGCTATTTTTAACTTCACGAGACAGGTGTATTATTCTTTGTGTACTCATATGCGTTTATTCTCATTCATCATTGTACATTATTAATTGGAACATTGTACTAACTGTGTACCGGTACACGATCTACCATGTTCTTTAAGTTGATGATTGTGATTATATTTCTTTTGTTTAGTAATCATACAATACTTAAATAAATCTAATTAATTGCAATTAGCAACTCTTTAGGGTGTCGTATTTTTGCTATTGTATTTCTTTATGGTGTCGTCTTTTGTTATGCACTGTTTGAACGAGCCAATAAGAGATTAATTTTCCAACAATAGAAGGCAATGCGTAACATACGATTATAATTAAAACTAGTGCATCTAGAATACCTAAATAATAACTGATCTAGATATTGGGTCGTTTTATTTTCATGATCTAAACGGTGTATTAGTATGTTTACAAAAAAAAATAAAAATCGTGACAGACTTACAGGTGCAGATATCTTTATAGCGATTCTTCTGAATGTTCTCAATGCTGAGGCCAACATGCTGAGTGACGTTGATTGGACGTGGGATAATCTATTTTGGAAAATGTAAAAAGAGAGAACGTTATACATCAGCCCGTGGGATAGCTTCACTATGTCAGAAAAGTATTTGTATTTAAGTCGATTGGTAATATCTGATGTAGTGATTTTTTGGAGAACTGAAGAGGACACCGAAGATATGAGGAAATATTGATTGTCTTATTACTGATATGTTTGTTTACTATTTAGTAAAATAAATCAATTGATACAGTTTTAACTGTTTAGCTGCTGTCTTGCATTTTATTAATTTCCTTATTTTGAATGTTGGTCTTTTTCCGAAGCATAAAATATATTATAATGGTCTGTCAAAGTTTTTTTGGTAATATCTCTAAAGTATCTTGCGTGGTTTGTGTCTAAAGTGAATATCTCTTATGGTGTTATTATGAATCTAAAAATTTACTGAATCTGCTAAATAATATAATGCTCTAAAGAGAGAGAGAGAGAGAGAGAGAGAGACAAAAAATTGAGAGAAAGAGATAAAGGGAGAATGATACCGAAAATGGAGAGAGAGGAAGAGACAGAGAGAGAAAGTAGAATTGGGCAGAGAAAGTCAGAAAGACAGAAAGAGAGAGAGTGAGAAAGAGAGAAAGAGATAGAGATAAAAAGTTGGAGATAAAGATATATTAACTAAGAGAGAGATAATCAGAGAGAGAGAGCGAGAAAGGAAGACACATATATAGAGAAAATAAGATAGGGAAGTGTTAGTAAAAATACAGAGAAAGAGAGAGAGAGAGAGAGAGACAGAAAGAAAAAAATGAGAGAAAGAAAAACTCAGCGCGTTAAAGGGAGAAGAAAATAGAAAAAAAATATAGAAAGAAAGAGAGACAGAAAGAGACATCGATATAGACAGAAAGAGAAAGGAAGAGATAGGCAAAATGAAACATTGATATAGAGAGAAAGAAGAAGCAGGGAGAGAACGAGAGAGACAAAGTCGTGTGGTTTATTCTACTCATCTATATTTGTCACCTTAAATTGCTCTTCAAAATAACTGTTGTCATGTGACCTCAAGAACTCTTGTAAACGTGTGACTTCTATAAGTGTGTCAACAGGCAGCACCACGTCATTGGTGTACGTCATATAGTTATCAGAGGCTTCTGATTGGTCCAGCTGGTCTGCAGTGATGAACAGACATACCATGTAATCATTTCAATACGCATCTGTAGCCTTGACCTTTAGATCTTTATTGCATAACTTTGACATTTTCTTATATAATTTGATTTTGTAATTGATCAACGAAGAATGAAACACAAAGGAGCTAAATAAGTAATTAAAATATTAATATCTGCTTTAAAGACATCTTAAACCAGGTGTGCCATGGGCAATGCCCAAGCTTCAATGACCAGATAGAGTTTGTGAGGATTTTGATAATCTGCTTGTTATCACCATGTGCCGTTTCACCAGAGAATTTTCAATGACTTTTGCCATGTGGAAAATAATTTTAAACTTCACAAACAATTTGTTGATAATAAAACACCGAATTTCAGGTATAAGTTTCGTGTTCCCTATTAAATGCTGAAACATCAATTTATGGCTAAGATCTTCCAAAATTCGTTTGGAATTGCTTGAAATTGTCTTAATTAAAAAAACAACAACCAATGTAACATTTCTATAGTGTAGTTAGATTGTAGATTGAGTTAACGAATTGATTACCTGCCGTCTGATCGTCATCAACACTCATTTTTCTTGATGTCAGTGTTTGCTTTATTGAAGCATGGTCCGATTGCTGAGATTTTTTGTACCTAGAAAAATCGGATCATTTCACATTCTAAATGTCCTGTTGCTATTTCAAAGCAAAACCAATTGAAACAAATAAAAAAATAATAAACATGTATCCAGCGGGTACAACTTTTACTTGAACGTTAAACTTAGTTCAGAAAAAAAAAATAATTCAGACAAATATCGTTTCAAAATATACGTCTCTGTAAAGGAAAAGACACACACACACACCCACACAACCCAAAAAAGGGGAAAAATAGTGACAATTCATTATAATAGATGAATGTGAGGACAGACATTAATTCTTGTATTTTTTAAACGTTGAAAGATTATTTTGTTGATATCAGGTTATAAAAAGTTTACTTTAGGAAACAACCTTTTGAAAATAATGACAGCAGCTAAGCCAATGGCGGCCGCCACAACAAGAAGAGACACTGCTATGGCTGCCGCTGTATTGGGGTTATTTTCTGGAACTAGAAATAAAGAGACCGTTATACATGTGAACCATAGGACGTAAATTAGATTTTTTAAAAACCTTTTCGAGTAGTAATGATTCTTATTAGAATTATACTAATGTCATCCTTATTGCTGTCTTTTAGTATCGCCATTGGTATAGTCTTAAAATAAAGGGGATGCTACTGTCTTTTAATATCACGCTTGGGATCGCCTTAAAATATCATACTTTATGGGGTGTTGTAATGTTACACTTTTTATATTCTCAAATATCATACTTTATGGGGGTCTTGTAATGTTACGCTTGTTATTTCCTAAAATATCAGACTTTATGGGGTCTTGTAATATTATACTTGTTGTGGTCTTAAAATATCCGATTTTATGAGGTATAGTAATGTCACATTTGTTATAGTCTCAAAATATCAGGCTTTATTGTGTCTTGCAAGGACAAACTTGTTTTGATCAGAAAATATCAGACCTTTTTTTGGTCTTTTAATGTTAAACTTGTTATGGTCTCAAAATATCAGACTTTATGAGGTCTTGAAATGTCAAACTTGTTATGGTATCAAAATAATAGGCTTTTTACGGTCTTGTATATCTAAAACTATAGTTTATACTATCTCTAAGAATTATATAAATAGGTCGCTAATAATAAGCATTATTTTTTTTACATTTTAAAGAAGATATGAATTACCACTTTGAGAACAATCTGGTCCGGTAAAACCTGAATGACAGCCAGCTTCACAGTGACCTGTTTCGTGGTGGCATGTATGGTTTTTACAATTTACATTACATCTCCCTGAACAGTCTTTTCCCCAACTATTTAATTGACATTCTGTAGAGAAATAAATTGCTTCTGACGATTAATTTTTTTTTCTATGTCAACAACATCTTTTAAACAAATATTCCTTATTTCTTTTCATTAATAATATTTCCGAGATTGACACAAACTTGAAAAAAAAAATCTGTGAGAATTGGTGGAGAAAAAACACAAAATTGTGGCATTTTGGTGAAATTACGTTTGTTTAGCAACGAATTATTTTATTAATAAATTATATTATTCGATTTTTGTATCCAAATAACATTTTTTATAACTTTATTGGAAATTTTTTTGTTAATTAAGCCCAACATTTTGTTCATAATTATTGTTAACTTACTTTGTCCACATCCTTGACCTTGGTAACCACTCGCACATCCAGAGACGCAACCACCTGTGGCTATAAAACATTTTTCGCCCCTTACAGCGCAATTACATGTTGAGTTGCAATCTAATCCAAACGTGTTACCGTCACAGAGATGATCTGAAATTAAAACGGTGTAGACATTTTTAATGCATTTCTGAAACTCAAATTTAGATGGTAAATATTATTTACTTAGCTAATGATATTTTAAGGCATTGTTTAATAAGCTTTCACCTAAAATGTATAGGTTATAATGATCAATACATTATTTTGATAAAAAAATAGATGAAAGAGGCCAAATATTTGTAAGGATGAATGGATTATTGACGAACCTCCATAGATCTCCACTTCACACAATGTTAGAATAGGTTCTTCTTTATCTTTTTTGAATATAGCGTGTATTTGTACTTTGTCGACCGGTTTCATTATTTCCCTCGTTGAAATTTCGTATTTCTGTTTCTCTTCCCCTGGCTCAGTGTAGTCAAACACCGTGTTGTTCTCGATAAAGCTCTTCAATTGAAAGCTTTTTAAACGGTACCACAGTATATTTCCTTTAAAGAAAAAAAAATCATTTTCTGAAATTGATCCCCAATTAAATATAAACAACAACAAAAAAAAAAAGAAAAAGATTTTCAGAAATAATTGCATTTTTTAATTGTTACTGAAATGAGTTTTAAACATCTTATTCCACCCCACATCTCATTTCGTTGGAATCAAACGGTTTAATTGATGCCATAATTTATTTTTTTTATTTACGTCAGTGGCGTAGCTACGTTTGGTGTTACCCGTTGCGGTAAAATCATTGTGTCATTCCCCCCTCCCCAAACTTCCACGATGGATTTCTTCTTGTTAAAAAAGTCTACAGCATGACAATGACAAAAACAAAAACTCATAAATTCAAGGTATTGAGGTCAATAAATTTAAAAACTGTGACAAATTTAAGTTATAGTTATTTTTACATAAAATTTACTTTAATAAAAATTTTCCTTTCCTAGTCTTCAAAGCTGCAGACCAGTCGATAACTTGATGCAAATAAATGCCCTTCACTGTATCACTTTCAATTGATAGCAGAGCCACATCAGAAAGCCTAAACTGCCCCATGTTGGATCATAAATATTTCTTGATAAGCCTTTGGTTTGAAAACCTCCGCTCACTTGAAGCCACACAAACTCATATCGTAAGAAAAATTAAAGGATTAGCTAGAGTATTGGAAGAGATTCTATCAAGTCCGACTCAGCTATGAATTTCAAAATATCAAATACTAACTAGTCCATGACTTTTGTTAATATCAGCTGCATTTAGATGTCTCCTAAGCCTTAAATTTCTTTTAAAATTTCACCTTCTAATAACTAATCATGGAAAGAGGTTAATTTTGGAGCGGACACCACTAACTCTTCTTGCCTTACTGACTCTAGTAGAGTCTTAGGTTGAGCAACAAATAAAATATCTGCTATTTCTTGATCGCTCATGATCTGATCTGAAGTTCAGAATGAAAGTGATTAATACAACCAAACATCTCCCTACTGTTTCTTCACACAGAGAGAGTCCAGTATCTATAACTGTTCTCCTGCCTTCTTTTAAACCTTAATCTTCTATCTATTGAAATCCATATTGGTCTGTTTTTAAAAGTTCCTTTTCAATAGCGTGTTCCACAAAGGGACAGTGATTTTCATTCAACATAATCTTAAAGCCTTTATCACTACTTTATCAAGATTAAAGCCTATGATCTGCATATACTGCTGTGTAGGATTAACCTCCTCGAGTAGATCTTCCCAAAGGTAAAGGTAGCAGATAAACGGGAAATCGCAGACAGCATATAGAAGACCCTGTGCTGTAACTCGTGTATCTAAATTTTGAAAAGGATTACACAGAGCTTCAATAGCAGCCACACATTCATCAAACTCATCTTTCAATGTTTTAACAGAAACATGATTGAGCACTCCAACGCGTTGTTGACAGTCTTTTCAGCAACATTCCAGTGTGTTAAATAAGAGCATTCTATCAATGATTGGATTCAGCAAAGAAGAAAATATTCTTTCAAGTGTACCGAGAAATGTAATAAAGGAAACTTTTTCTGCAAAAGAATGTGGACCACACACGTTAAGTTAAGGTACAAAAATTCATTAAAAATGGCTTTCTTCTTATTTCTTTTCTGAAAGGCCTGGAAAACTCCATAGATTCCAGACAGTGTGGCAGCATTATCGTAACCTTTAGCTCAGAACATTATTTTTTAAAGTTTATAAGAATGAGAGAACTGAGGTCATCAGATTGTTTCCATCTTAACTGGTAAATGCGAAAAACATTTCTCTTACTTCAGCTTTCCCATTGTGGATTTTCACATATCTGATCTTTTCAGACATCTGGTCACTGTGTGATATATCAGGTGTAATTTCTAACATAATTCAAAATACCTCGCAGCATTTATATCCATGATAATAATCTCCTTCACATGATTTGCAAGGATATTTTTAATATTTTTGAGGTTTCTAGTGGAAGGTAAGAAGCGGATTCTTTTTCTGTAGATTTACTTCTCTTGAGTCTTAGGGTTCTTTCAGCACTGGATCAAATTTAGATAGCATCTCAAACATTTCAAGAAAAATTCATTGAAGATTCATCTTCGTTGTGGCCAAAAAATGCCAGATTTTCATTTGGAAGAAAAAATGTGATATTCAACAACCTGTGCAGGACATCTCTCCACATTTTCTTCTCCCTGTCCATCACAGCAATATTTTCGGTAGCAATTGTTTTTGTTTGTATCCTAAGTTCTGTTGCCAATGCTTCCACTTTTCAAGGCAAACTAGGTGCTATTTGATGCTTCATGATTTTGTTTTTTTGGGCTCAGCCTCCACCACTTCTCAAAGCCAGTAACAAATTTGGATGCTTTTTCTGTAACATTAAGATCAAACAATAGGGAGAAAAACAATACAATTTTTGACTGACGAGTGAATAAACCATCCACGTCCGTAGTATTTCCCCGCAATTTTGCATCATTCGGTAGATTCATTGTTTGGGTAGTTGGAGAACACCTCAATTATTTTCACATTTTGCCTTGTAACTACGCTGAATAGTCCCTCCATGTTCTGAAGCGAGGTTCTCCCGATTTTAAAAATTTCAGACCGACACTGTTCTGGAACTAGTACATTCCAGAGAGAAGCATCTGATCAAATGTGCAAGTTTTTGTCAATAGCCATTACATTTACAGCATCTTGTTTTGAATCAGCATTATCATCAGACATTTCTGTTTCCAAACCACTCATGTCTTTTACTTGTGTTTTCACGTCAATCTCTTCCATTTTCTCAATCATTTTCTGAAAAGAATGCATCCTGCTGTTATCAGGAGAATTAGTATCAGTATCAATGGTATGCTGAGGAAAGTCTTTTGATGAACCCTGACCCTTGTCATCATTTGGTTTCTTGATATCGAAGCATGTATTCTTGTCTTGATTTTTAGTAAGTCGAGTATTTTATTTTTTTCTTTTCACTACTGACAGCCACTTGGCTGTTTAGATTTGTGCATGCCGTGTGGCATGACATAATAATTGTGAACAATAAAAATGATTTAATTGTGTCATGTTCAAGAAAAGAAATTATAATTACTGTCAGCAGCTGAAAAACAAAAGTTATAGCACTGTCTAAAATACAAGGCAGAAAGGTGACAGGTAAAACCCAGTAGTCGAAATATGACAATCGTGCTCAAATGTTAAAGGGCGAATCGGCAAAAATATAATTTTTTGAATTTTTCGAGGTTTTGATATATGCTATTATATGTTATCAAAACACTTGTCTTCATTTAAATTTAAATAAATATTCATCATTTAAAGATTGAAAAATGTTAAATTATATATATTTAACGCTATAAAGGGGTAAAAGTTCATTTTTATTGTTTTTAATTTTTACCGATTCTTATACTTGGAATCGCCCGACCACAACTTATTGGGTATCAATGGAAAGTCCTATTTTATAAATTGAATAATAACAGTGTTTTTCTGACATAAACATAGGGTCATCTCATTTCTGACGCATCAACCTTGAACTTTAAATAAAGCAAGCATTTGAATTTGTTACATTAGTGAAAAATGTATATGTGATGGGTTATCCTTTTGTAAATCTCCGTTAGACCAAGCAGTGGTGCTCTGTAAATATGCAATTTTTCAAGTGGGTGTCACCCCTAAAATGGTGTCAACCGTTGCGGTCCGCACCCAACGCAGCCTGATTCACGTTCTTCAAATAATAAATCGGTTCATGTAATATTTTTTAAATCTAAAAATACAAATCAATAAAAACCCAATACATTTTGTTTTTAAATTCTCAATTTTGGTTTCAAAATTCCTTTAAACTACGATTCATTATCACGTTGTTAATACATTTCTTTTTGTGAAAAAATATCCAGTAAATACCAAATATGCACATGTCACAAACAACTATGCAACTTAAATTTAAATATTGATAAAAGTATTCGTATATGTAAATTGACCTTAACAATTAAAACCCATAGAGGGGTTTCAAAATCGCGGCCCGCGGGCCATTTGCCGCCCACAAGACGATATTTTGCGGCCAGCTACATGACATCAAAGTTTAGTGTAATGCGGCCCGCGAGTTGTTCCTATTCTCATATCTATAATGTGACCCTCCGCGAAAGTTTCGGTCGAATCTCATCGACTAGTCTTATTCTTATTTTCATCATGTTTGAATAGATTTGGACTTTTTATTATAATGGTAAAAACCGTTTTGAAACCTGACTAAAAGTTTTTATTTTATAGCATTTTATGAGACAAGCCTGGCCAAAATACGGTTTTCATAAAAATTTAAAAAGTCAGTTAGTTGGTAAAGCACAACCACAATTGTGTAAATTGTAGAAATCTGACACAGTATCAAATATCCCTATTAAAATTGCCCCCAGTGTTAACGAGTTAGGAAAATACCGAGCATGTCAGCTTGGTGCCATTGAAAGTAGGTTTTAGTCAAAAAGGCCTTTTCTACGATAAAAAAATCAAAATTTATTCTCCCTACAATAGCATCTTTCTTCGCATCAATATTTCATAAATAGTGCCTGCTCCTGCCAACTGTTTGAACACGTTTTAGCCTTCAAAGCCTTCAAGGAGGATGGGGTGGTTGTTCTTGTACTACGTGATACCAAATGGCTCATGGACATGGCTTTTCTTGATGACATTAAACAGGATCTCTTTGTACTCAACAAGGAGTTACAAGATCAGAGGTAGCTTTTCAGTGCTGCCTATGTCAATGTCGCTGCAGTCTGCACACACTTGTGTTATTGTTCTTTGAAAAACCTCTGCCACTTACCAAATTGAAAAGTACTCATGGATTCTGGCACACCATTCAGTAGTGAGTATACTGATGCCATTGCAAAGCTACAGGAAGAATTTGATGACCTGTGTTTAGAATTCAAAACACACATGCAGAGCGACTTTCCAACTTTTTGCTGACCATTTTTCCTTTAATTTCTTTCTCCCAAACTCCCCCCCCCCCCCCCCCCNTTGCAATACCCTCTTACCCAACGATGAATTATCTCATTTCTGTTAACTAAACATCAAACATTTTGTAAACGGTAACCATCTATTTGTACCTTTTGAAATGTTTGAAAGTGATTGTTGACATAGGAATGGTCCAATGATTACTTAGCAATAAATTCGAATTAATGACATGCTTATAATATGTGTTAAGAGGGTTAGGATTTCAATAACATTATGTATATGCACAACATTCTTTAGACTGAATTTAAATTTAATCTACCATTTGAAAATGTTTCTAAAATGATTAACTGCATTTGGACGTTGACAGTCATTTCAATAAATATTAAAACGAATACAATTAAATTACGTGACTAAATTCCCCATCTTAATACCTTTACATGGTAGACTTTTGGATAACATTTTTTAATTCGAGTATTTAGGGGGAAGGGGGAGCAAACTTTCTATCTATTGAACACCCACAAATGGCATATGAATCTGTTTGCATGATATATGTATTGAACAATTAACAAAAAGCAACATTAATGTCTTACTGGAATCCTGATACCAGGGATGGTTTTAAAAGAAAATTGTGTGTTTCGAACAGACAAAAATTCTTTTATAAAATACCGTTTACCGTTCTTCTTGTATTTCAATGAACAATAAATACATATAAACTTTTCATGTTATTTTTAACTTCATTTATGTTAAAAATATTTTTGCTTTGTATATATCATTTCTTTGGATGCTATTCTGTAAAGAATTTTTAAAAAAACAATAAAATTCATTAAATAATCACTGTTCATTCCAGCCATGTATGTGTGAGAATGATGTAGAAGGTTGGGGATAAGGAGAAGTGGGAGGATGTTCAAGATTTCAGAAGAATGATGGAGTGAAATGAAAATACTGAAGTGATGTTAGAGAAATGTTGGGTGTAAATAATATGTTGCTTTGAATAAGTAAGAAGGTTGGGGATAAGGAGAAGTGGGAGGATGTTCAAGATTTCAGAAGAATGATGGAGTGAAATGAAAATACTGAAGTGATGTTAGAGAAATGTTGGGTGTAAATAATATGTTGCTTTGAATAAGTGAGGAGCGGGACGTCGATTTAGGAGTTGGTATGATAGGATGTATGTCTGGGCCATAACAAGGTAAGTTGGTACGGTTTAGGCGGAATGGGAGATATGTATTGAGAGTGTGAATGTGTTGAATGTGTTAGTGCAGGGATGGGCAGAATGGAAGAAAAAAAAGAGATTACGGGTATATCATTGTGTGCAATGATTTGTTGTTTGGTAGGAGAGTAGTGTGGGGGTATTGTGTGCAATGATTTGTTGTTTGGTAGGAGAGTAGTGTGGGGGTATTGTGTGCAATGATTTGTTGTTTGGTAGGAGAGTAGTGTGGGAGTTGATCAGCTGATTTAAGGGAGCATGAAAATAAAATTAAGGAACACAAGCACAACTTAAATCTGATTAATGCATGTCTTCCCCGGCATAACTCTCTAAGCTTTAACAGTGTCCGATAGCAAGAGAAATTTTAACTCTTAGTATGTAACCTATAATTATGTCTGTGAAAAGTGGAGAATAGTTGTTTAGCGTTAATATTAGTCCTTTACACTTAACCAAATTGATAACTGACTGTGTGTATTATTTTTTATTTTCAAGTATATCTTTGGTAAGAACAGAATACGATCATTATAAAATGTTGCACCAATTTGGATGTGACATACTATAGACATTTTATTTTCTCGCAACATACTAAGTAAGAATAGTTTGAATTGTCCACAATGACATACGTTTTTCCGTAAAAAATTACAGTGAGCGTGTCGCAAGATAACAATTTGTACATTTTAACAAATACTTACTGTTATAAAGAATATATCGTTGAATAAACTGTGGTCTGGAGAAAGTCAGATTCCATAGTGGGGTTCGGTCACCCTCAGCCGTGTGTGTACAACTATTATCCTTAAAGTCACCACTTGTGTTACCATCCACTGCATTGCTTGCTCTAGATGAGTCGGAGTTATACGTGCTGGACTGGCTTGCATTTTGTTTCAATGCAATATTTCGTCCTTAAAATAAAATAAATATTAAGGTTACTGCAATAGAAATTTAAAAAAAAAAAACAAAAAAAAACAGGGTCGTTTTAAAATCTCAAATTTTTACAGCCCGCTCAAATATCTTTCAAATTCATGTTAGTTAAATGATAAATCAGATGGCAGATTATGAGGCTTTTGATATAACTTCTTCCTGTGTCCTTCATTGATAGATCCAAAGAGTTTTTCTACTCTTATGTTGACTGTAGTAAGTGAGGTTCTTCCGCTGGACTAGAACTTCTTATCAAATACGTAACGGTTCTGCGCTGATTATAATGATAGTAAGTTTTGTTCTACAAGCATTATATTATTGATATCAAGCTTTGATTAAATTGTAGCTTTAAGAAAGTAGTTACATTTATGTTATTATAACAAGGGGCATTAAAGACCCATTTCTTGCAAGGCGTTTATATTTTATGTCGTTAGCATGACACGAAATCTCAATATAAGTAATATGCTTGATGTAATGAAAGTAGATAACTGGGAAGTTAGTAGGGACAGTGTGTCTGTCATACCACCGAAAGATGGCAAAGAACCTGAAGGAAACAGTAAAGATGAATAGGATAGGAAAAGCGTAAACCAAGTGTTTTATTGTCAAATATTGGTAGTGAAGATATTCTAGATGGTCAGACATGAAAGATATCTGTTTTGCCTGTGTGTTTGCTAGTTTTGTTCACTTTATGCCATGGCATGCAACATTACCCCCTCTTTGTTTTTGACATTCCCAATTAATTTAGCCCCTCTTTCCCCCCTCCATCCTTGTTTTAAAATATTTTTTTTAAATTTCCAGAATGGTCTACATAGTGAGAGCAATTAATCTCAAGCTACAGAATTAAATAATGTTTTACTCTGACGCTCTCCCTATAACTACGAAGGTCGACTGTATCAAGTAGACTGACGATACATACAAGACTGACAGGAGCCCTATAAGAAGTACACTAGTTTTCCAGTGTGTGTGGGAATTACATAATTGTATTTTTCTAGTATTATACGCTTTTATTTACCATGCTGTAAGCTAATGCAGATTTATCAATATATTTAGTACATTTTTATTTATAATATCATTAGTAACATTAACTTTTTAACTGATGGGGTTTTAGGCTCAGTCTATCAGTTGATCAACTCATGCTAGTAATTATAACTTCTTTAGTTTCATTTTATTATGACGATTTGGGAGACTCCATCCGTCGTCCATGAAGCCTAGGCGTTCCTCTCGACCCTCAATGAAAATTAGAATTCCTGTTTCTATACACCACCTTTCATTTTCACAGAAATAAATTAGTAATGACACAATGATAACACAGTGATAACACAGTGATAACACAATGATAACTCAGTAATAACACAGTAAAAAACAAATATAATATTCAAAGTTCGCTCCTTTTAAATACAAGTATGATTGCAAGTACGCTCTTCTTAACTCACAAATTCTTGACTCCTAATCAGAAGCCTAGCCAGATTGTTTGGCTCCCGGGAAAAGATTCATTTTAAACAGCTTCCTTTCTTTTCTCAACTCTCAAACTCATTATTTTTATTAATAAAATAAGATCAAAGTGTATGTAGTCGCCATTAACAAGTCTGGTGCCCTAGGGCATCTGTCCCCCTTGCCTCCAAGTAGCCAGGCCTCTGTTCCTAATCAACGTGGATGATCTATGCTTATATCTTTATTCTGGCCAATACCCTTTTTCTTTATATATTCCTACTTCCTTTCTGTCTTCTGCGCATGATCAAAAATCTTCCACTTAATATCTCTCATTACATAAGCAATATAGTTATGTAAATATGGAGTGTTTAAAAAAGTTATTAACGTTGATATCAGTAGCTTAATATCAGTTGTTTCCTTGTATCCAAGTTTTCAATTTTTGTGTGATTCATTTAATAGGCAAAATCTTAAAACAAATAAATATGTAAACCCAAATAACGGTAAGTCACAATTGGAAACAATAGAGTAAAAATCTAGCGTGGATTCTTCTATTGCGAAAGAACAAAGAGCTTCTCTCGGGTACCACGCATTGATGTCGATGTGGAGCAGACATTAATAATGAAGAAATACATGTGGAATTTAGGAGGAGTCAACAGAATGCATGAAAATATTGGAAGATACCATATCAAAATTACCACAAGCAAGTGATATTAGCAGATGCTGGCATGTCCGATAAAGTTATCAGCCGACAATGTATGACAGCTGTAGCTACTTAATCCATCATATTTCTTATTCTTGTTTTTGTTTTTTAACAGGTTTTTCTGTTGTTTTGTTCGCTGACGAAGGCTTTCTGCCGACACGTTTTTTCTGTTGTTGCGTTTACTTTTTCAGGTTTAACCCTACTCTGTTTTACTCATTTTATATTGTACTAACCTGATTGCAGTCTCTCCCCTTATTACCTCGAGCACGAATGCAGTGTCCGTGTCAGTGCAAACTGTTTTCAAAGTAGCCATTTTAATGTATCTAATTTGCCAATGTCTTAATAATGCGATGCATTGTTTTTGTGTTGTTTTTTTTTAAATCACATTCTTTGGAATTGACTGAAAATTGACTTGTGGACAAGTGTTTTAACAAGTTTTGTTTAAATATTTTCCTTAGACAAAAGTGCAGCCATAATGGACAAATAAAACGCGTTTTTATATTATTTACCACAAAACAGTGAAGTTTAGATTTAAAATGTTTTTTTAAATTAAGTAATCTAAGATTTCAACGTCAAAAAAATAGTAAAGTACCAAAAAAATCAAACAAAAAATAAGCTTAAAATATACATAAAAGCCTTACCTCCACTGATGTAGATAGAGCAGAGGTATCCAACTACCTCACCACTAATATTTATGTTAGCGCTTTCAAATTTTAGATCACATTTGATATCAATGATGTTGTTCTCCTTATCCACATACTTTTTCTGACCGTCACATTTCGTTGCGGATTGGTCCGTTCCTGTTACTTTTAATTCTAACTTGAAGTGCTGGACTGGCTTGCATTTTATTTCAATGCAATATTTCGTTCTTAAAAAAAAAAAAATATAAAAGTTACTGCAAAAAAAATTAAAAAAAAAAAAAAAAAAAAAAAACAGGGTCGTTTTAAAATCTCAAATTTTAACAACCCGCTCAAATATCTTTCAAATTCATGGTAGTTAAATGATAAATCAGATTGCAGATTACGAGGCTTTTGATATAACTTCTTCCTGTGTCCTTCATTGATAGATCCAAAGAGTTTTTCTACTCTTATGTTGACTGTAGTAAGTGAGGTTCTTCCGCTGGACTAGAACTTCTTATCTAATACGTAACGGTTCTGCGCTGATTATAATGATAGTAAGTTTTGTTCTACAAGCATTATATTATTGATATCAAGCTTTGATTAAATTGTAGCTTTAAGAAAGTAGTTACATTTATGTTATTATAACAAGGGGCATTAAAGACCCATTTCTTGCAAGGCGTTTATATTTTTTGTCGTTAGCATGACACGAAATCTCAACATAAGTAATATGCTTGATGTAATGAAAGTAGATAACTGGGAAGTTAGTAGGGACAGTGTGTCTGTCATACCACCGAAAGATGGCAAAGAACCTGAAGGAAACAGTAAAGATGAATAGGATAGGAAAAAGATTCAGGCAACACATTTAGTAGTGAGTATACGTATGCCATTGCAAAGCTACAGGAAGAATTTGATGACCTGTGTTTAGAATTCAAAACCCACATGCAGAGCGACTTTTAAACTTTTTGCTGACCCTTTTTCCTTTAATTTCTTTCTCCCCCCCCCCGCCCCTCCCCCCCTTACTCCCCATTTGCGCTTCAAATAGAGCTGATTGATATTCAGTGCAATTCTAAGTTCTGGAAGTTAATGGAGAAAAAGACCAGCATGGAAAATTTATGAGAGCAGTGCCCTCCACAAACACTGAGATTTCCAGGTTGCTCAAGCGCATTATTTGATTTTTTGGGAGTGCCTATCTGTGTGAAAAGCTCTTTTTCAACTATGAAATTAAACAAGACAAAATTGAGGGCGAGACTTACTGATGAGCATTTTCAAGCTATACTGAGGATCTCAGCTGCTTCCTCACTCAAGCCATATGATGCTCAGCTTTGAAAGAAGAAGCGCTGCCAGGTCTCTGGCAACAAGGAGTAGGTGGAAGAAAGTGAAGACTATTAGTTCGTGAGAACCTTTAATGTTTTGTTTTTTTTATTAATAAAGGTTGAGCAGATTGTACCAGTTGTACTTGTTTGAGTTTGTAGTCGCTTTTTTTTTTACTTGATGCGGCCCAGTCTCATTCAGACTCTAACTTCTGCGGCCCCCAGATGATTTGAGATTGAGACCCCTGCCCTAAACTATTGGCTTGCAATACCCTCTTACCCAACGATGAATTATCTCATTTCTGTTAACTAAACATCAAACATTTTGTAAACGGTAACCATCTATTTGTACCTTTTGAAATGTTTGAAAGTGATTGTTGACATAGGAATGGTCCAATGATTACTTAGCAATAAATTCGAATTAATGACATGCTTATAATATGTGTTAAGAGGGTTAGGATTTCAATAACATTATGTATATGCACAACATTCTTTAGACTGAATTTAAATTTAATCTACCATTTGAAAATGTTTCTAAAATGATTAACTGCATTTGGACGTTGACAGTCATTTCAATAAATATTAAAACGAATACAATTAAATTACGTGACTAAATTCCCCATCTTAATACCTTTACATGGTAGACTTTTGGATAACATTTTTTAATTCGAGTATTTAGGGGGAAGGGGGAGCAAACTTTCTATCTATTGAACACCCACAAATGGCATATGAATCTGTTTGCATGATATATGTATTGAACAATTAACAAAAAGCAACATTAATGTCTTACTGGAATCCTGATACCAGGGATGGTTTTAAAAGAAAATTGTGTGTTTCGAACAGACAAAAATTCTTTTATAAAATACCGTTTACCGTTCTTCTTGTATTTCAATGAACAATAAATACATATAAACTTTTCATGTTATTTTTAACTTCATTTATGTTAAAAATATTTTTGCTTTGTATATATCATTTCTTTGGATGCTATTCTGTAAAGAATTTTTAAAAAAACAATAAAATTCATTAAATAATCACTGTTCATTCCAGCCATGTATGTGTGAGAATGATGTAGAAGGTTGGGGATAAGGAGAAGTGGGAGGATGTTCAAGATTTCAGAAGAATGATGGAGTGAAATGAAAATACTGAAGTGATGTTAGAGAAATGTTGGGTGTAAATAATATGTTGCTTTGAATAAGTTAGGAGCGGGACGTCGATTTAGGAGTTGGTATGATAGGATGTATGTCTGGGCCATAACAAGGTAAGTTGGTACGGTTTAGGCGGAATGGGAGATATGTATTGAGAGTGTGAATGTGTTGAATGTGTTAGTGCAGGGATGGGCAGAATGGAAGAAAAAAAAGAGATTACGGGTATATCATTGTGTGCAATGATTTGTTGTTTGGTAGGAGAGTAGTGTGGGGGTATTGTGTGCAATGATTTGTTGTTTGGTAGGAGAGTAGTGTGGGAGTTGATCAGCTGATTTAAGGGAGCATGAAAATAAAATTAAGGAACACAAGCACAACTTAAATCTGATTAATGCATGTCTTCCCCGGCATAACTCTCTAAGCTTTAACAGTGTCCGATAGCAAGAGAAATTTTAACTCTTAGTATGTAACCTATAATTATGTCTGTGAAAAGTGGAGAATAGTTGTTTAGCGTTAATATTAGTCCTTTACACTTAACCAAATTGATAACTGACTGTGTGTATTATTTTTTATTTTCAAGTATATCTTTGGTAAGAACAGAATACGATCATTATAAAATGTTGCACCAATTTGGATGTGACATACTATAGACATTTTATTTTCTCGCAACATACTAAGTAAGAATAGTTTGAATTGTCCACAATGACATACGTTTTTCCGTAAAAAATTACAGTGAGCGTGTCGCAAGATAACAATTTGTACATTTTAACAAATACTTACTGTTATAAAGAATATATCGTTGAATAAACTGTGGTCTGGAGAAAGTCAGATTCCATAGTGGGGTTCGGTCACCCTCAGCCGTGTGTGTACAACTATTATCCTTAAAGTCACCACTTGTGTTACCATCCACTGCATTGCTTGCTCTAGATGAGTCGGAGTTATACGTGCTGGACTGGCTTGCATTTTGTTTCAATGCAATATTTCGTCCTTAAAATAAAATAAATATTAAGGTTACTGCAATAGAAATTTAAAAAAAAAAAACAAAAAAAAACAGGGTCGTTTTAAAATCTCAAATTTTTACAGCCCGCTCAAATATCTTTCAAATTCATGTTAGTTAAATGATAAATCAGATGGCAGATTATGAGGCTTTTGATATAACTTCTTCCTGTGTCCTTCATTGATAGATCCAAAGAGTTTTTCTACTCTTATGTTGACTGTAGTAAGTGAGGTTCTTCCGCTGGACTAGAACTTCTTATCAAATACGTAACGGTTCTGCGCTGATTATAATGATAGTAAGTTTTGTTCTACAAGCATTATATTATTGATATCAAGCTTTGATTAAATTGTAGCTTTAAGAAAGTAGTTACATTTATGTTATTATAACAAGGGGCATTAAAGACCCATTTCTTGCAAGGCGTTTATATTTTATGTCGTTAGCATGACACGAAATCTCAATATAAGTAATATGCTTGATGTAATGAAAGTAGATAACTGGGAAGTTAGTAGGGACAGTGTGTCTGTCATACCACCGAAAGATGGCAAAGAACCTGAAGGAAACAGTAAAGATGAATAGGATAGGAAAAGCGTAAACCAAGTGTTTTATTGTCAAATATTGGTAGTGAAGATATTCTAGATGGTCAGACATGAAAGATATCTGTTTTGCCTGTGTGTTTGCTAGTTTTGTTCACTTTATGCCATGGCATGCAACATTACCCCCTCTTTGTTTTTGACATTCCCAATTAATTTAGCCCCTCTTTCCCCCTTCCATCCTTGTTTTAAAATATTTTTTTTAAATTTCCAGAATGGTCTACATAGTGAGAGCAATTAATCTCAAGCTACAGAATTAAATAATGTTTTACTCTGACGCTCTCCCTATAACTACGAAGGTCGACTGTATCAAGTAGACTGACGATACATACAAGACTGACAGGAGCCCTAGTACACTAGGAAGAAGTACACTAGTTTTCCAGTGTGTGTGGGAATTACATAATTGTATCTTTCTAGTATTATACGCTTTTATTTACCATGCTGTAAGCTAATGCAGATTTATCAATATATTTAGTACATTTTTATTTATAATATCATTAGTAACATTAACTTTTTAACTGATGGGGTTTTAGGCTCAGTCTATCAGTTGATCAACTCATGCTAGTAATTATAACTTCTTTAGTTTCATTTTATTATGACGATTTGGGAGACTCCATCCGTCGTCCATGAAGCCTAGGCGTTCCTCTCGACCCTCAATGAAAATTAGAATTCCTGTTTCTATACACCACCTTTCATTTTCACAGAAATAAATTAGTAATGACACAATGATAACACAGTGATAACACAGTGATAACTCAGTAATAACACAGTAAAAAACAAATATAATATTCAATGTTCGCTCCTTTTAAATACAAGTATGATTGCAAGTACGCTCTTCTTAACTCACAAATTCTTGACTCCTAATCAGAAGCCTAGCCAGATTTTTTGGCTCCCGGGAAAAGATTCATTTTAAACAGCTTCCTTTCTTTTCTCAACTCTCAAACTCATTATTTTTATTAATAAAATAAGATCAAAGTGTATGTAGTCGCCATTAACAAGTCTGGTGCCCTAGGGCATCTGTCCCCCTTGCCTCCAAGTAGCCAGGCCTCTGTTCCTAATCAACGTGGATGATCTATGCTTATATCTTTATTCTGGCCAATACCCTTTTTCTTTATATATTTCGACTTCCTTTCTGTCTTCTGCGCATGATCAAAAATCTTCCACTTAATATCTCTCATTACATAAGCAATATAGTTATGTAAATATGGAGTGTTTAAAAAAGTTATTAACGTTAATATCAGTAGCTTAATATCAGTTTTTACCTTGTATCCAAGTTTTCAATTTTTGTGTGATTCATTTAATTGGCAAAATCTTAAAACAAATAAATATGTAAACCCAAATAACGGTAAGTCACAATTGGAAACAATAGAGGAAAATCTAGCGTGGATTCTTCTATTGCGAAAGAACAAAGAGCTTCTCTCGGGTACCACGCATTGATGTCGATGTGGAGCAGACATTAATAATGAAGAAATATATGTGGAATTTAGGAGGAGTCAACAGAATGCATGAAAATATTGGAAGATACCATATCAAAATTACCACAAGGAAGTGATATTAGCAGATGCTGGCATTTCCGATAAAGTTATCAGCCGACAATGTATGACAGCTGTAGCTACTTAATCCATCATATTTCTTATTCTTGTTTTTGTTTTTTAACAGGTTTTTCTGTTGTTTTGTTCGCTGACGAAGGCTTTCTGCCGACACGTTTTTTTCTTTTGTTGTGTTTACTTTTTCAGGTTTAACCCTACTCTGTTTTACTCATTTTTTATTGTACTAACCTAATTGCAGTCTCTCCCCTTATTACCTCGAGCACGAATGCAGTGTCCGTGTCAGTGCAAACTGTTTTCAAAGTAGCCATTTTAATGTATCTAATTTGCCAATGTCTTAATAATGCGATGCATTTTTTTTGTGTTTTTCTTTCATTTAAATCACATTCTTTAGAATTGACTGAAAATTGACTTGTGGACAATTGTTTTAACAAGTTTTGTTTAAATATTTTAAATTAGACAAAAGTGCAGCTATAATGGACAAATAAAACGCTTTTTTATATTATTTACCACAAAACAGTGAAGTTTAGATTTAAAATGTTTCTTTAAATTAAGTAATCTAAGATTTCCACGTCAAAAAAAAAAGTAAATTACCAAAAAAATCAAATAAAAAATAAGCTTAATATATACATAAAAGCCTTACCTCCACTGATGTAGATAGAGCAGAGGTATCCAACTACCTCACCACTAATATTTATTTTAGCGCTTTCAAATTTTAGATCACATTTGATATCAATGATGTTGTTCTCCTTATCCACATACTTTTTCTGACCGTCACATTTCGTTGCGGATTGGTCCGTTCCTGTTACTTTTAATTCTAACTTGATTTCATACAGATTTGGTGATTCTGAAACTAAAATATAATGACCTTAATGAGTTTTGCAGCCACATTTTTAATATCGTTAAAATGTCGATAACATTGTCTTATATATATATATATATATATATATATATATATATATATATATATATATATATATATATATATATATATGAATATATAATTTATTTATTTATTTAAACAAAGATAAATATTTACACTTACAAGTGCATACATAAAAAAGAGAGAAAACTTTAATATCAATTTACTCTTATAACATGTAAAGTTAATTTTAGCAAAAGAAAAAAAAAACATGAAAATCTAACTTTTCTAATATGTACCTTAGATATAAGTGGGTGAACTATTTTTGATACAAGATTTCTAAAGTTATTAAAATTCCCACGGAACTTATGTCATCAATTTTTGTTTCTTTCCTTCATATTATATTTTTAATAATATACAGTTGTACCTCGGTATACGTCCTTAATCCGTTCCTGATCCTTGGACTTATACCAAACATGACGTATACCAAACAGGAAGTATACCAAACAGGACGTATACCAAACAGGACGTACACCAAACAGGACATATACCAAACAGGACGTATACCAAACAGGACGTATACTAAACAGGAAATATACCAAACGTATTTTTCCCCTAAGAAACAAAGGGAAAATAATTCATCCGTTCCAATGAAAAAAATCATATTTTTAATGGCATATTATACATATATTGAGGTGGTTGGATGAAATAATTTAAGCGACTTAAATACATATGTCGAGTATGAGCGTTCATTAGGAATTGTTGCGACTCAATATTATGTTCATTAGTTGTTGAACGCTTTTCCCGCGCTTGACTATTATAGTTAGTGAACGCTCTTCCCGCCATTGTATTTATGACGTATTTTTATGCTGAGTCGTGACGTATTGTCTATGCAGTGTTGTGACGTATGTTTTAGTCGTGCGGCAGTCTTGAGTGGAACCTTGGAGTGATAGGATGTTTATTATATTTACTTAGATATTAAAGTTATAGTTATTATGAAAAGGAGTTGAGTTTGTTAATTGATAGTGAGAATAGTACGACGCTTCAACGTATGAAAGAACTGACGAATGTAATCAATCCAAGAAGACGTTAGGAGTTGACATGGGGGCTTCTCATCCGGGATTGGTGAACCTCGTTATTTTCATACTTGAGGTAAAGTACAAGAACATTCTTATTATTCAACTTTAGTGAAGTTACAACCATCGTCGCATGTTCCCGTATTTCAATGTCGGAGCCCCGCTGCCACCGTGTGTCAAGTTTATATGAGTTGCATACGCCAGTAACTCCATCAACCACCTACGTCCTGTATTAGGCTAGTTATGTCCTAACCTGCAACAGGCTAACTACGCCCTGCCCGTTATCAAGTTGCCAACGTCCTGTTCAGTTCCAGTGAAATAACTACGTCCTGCCCTGTATGAAGTTACCAATGTCGTGTCCAGTTACAGCAAATTAACTACGCCCTGTCCGTTATCAAGTTGCCAACGTCCTGTTCAGTACCAGTGAATCAACTACGCCCGTCGCTGCATCAAGTTATCTACGTCCTGTCGGTAGTGAGCTACCAACTTCGTGTCCAGTGAGCTGTGAAGTCCTGTGGCCTGTCCGGTCACTCAGTTTAACAACGCCCTGTCCTGCTTCAACGAGCCACCAACGTCCCGTCCCGCATCCAGCTGCACATGCCCGATCCTGTATTGGCGAGTTACCCCCGAACTGTCCAGTGTCGGCGATTCGCCTACGTTCTGTCCAGTGAGCTGCCGATGTCCCGTGACCCGTCCCGGTCACCCACACCTCAATGACTGTGTCCCAAGATCGCCATATAGGACAATTGAAGTTTGTGAGAGAACTATTGACAGTAAAGAACCATTGACACTTAATTAAGCCCAGTGTGTGTTTTGAATAATATTTAAATTCTATAGGACATTCCAAGAACCAGGCAAGTTGGATTTTTATTGTTTAAAACATTTTTGGCATTAATTTTCTTATGACTTCTGTATT